TGGTGCGAGCCGGTGCGATCCCGGGAGTAGCCTGAACGCGCCGCTCGAGCCGAGGTCGGCGCAGGGGAGGTTCCTCAGCAGCGTGTTGCAGAACAAGCGTCAGCTTTTCCACTTCGCCGCCGCCGATGAGCTCAAGCAACTCGCCGACGATCGCGAATCCGCCGTCTCTCGTAAGCTCCTGAGTTCCGGCTCCGACGAGGCTTGTCTCCACAGGTTCGTGGATCCTTCACTGGTATAATCTTCGCAATCTTGGATTGAACGCAAATCCATAATTGGATTGAAGGAGATCTTGCGAAAATTTGAGTTTTGGAGTAGTCTAAGTGATTGGAGTTGAAATTCTCATCCGTCGTGTTACGTTGAAACCATACTGATATCTGGTTCGGTTGAATTAGGGAAGAAGAAGAAGCCAAAGGTTGCTTTGCCTTGTAAAGCAAGTTTTTATTGATTGAACTTGGATGCTGCTTCCTATGGTGAATCTCGTTGAATCACATCCGTTATGCATATAGAATGCTCCTTGTTCATTGAATCAATGGTATGTATGCGTGAGAAAGAACACAACTTGGAGGTATAAATCATAAATGTGTTTTCGAATTGGTAATTCTCTGTACGTTGTTCTTAGTGAGCATCAAACCCAGATGAATTCGTGAACTTGATGATCAAGCTGCTTAATGTTGGTTGTTTGTCTGCCTTCTCTCTGAAATCTTTGTTCATGGAACCTTTTTTTTTCCTGTCTACCTGCGGATTCTTCTGACCAGATTATCGTTTACGAACGCTACTTACGTGATTTTCCTCAATGGTTGCCACAGGAGGATAGCCCAACTCAAAGAGCATTATTCTCAAATCGCCGTCCAAGACATAATGTACATGCTAATCTTCTATAAATTCTCCGAGATCAGAGTCCCTCTTGTTCCAAAGCTCTCCAGGTGCATCTACAACGGAAGGCTCGAGATCTGGCCATCAAAAGACTGGGAACTGGAATCCATTCACAGCATTGATGCCCTAGAACTCATCAAGGAACACGTCAGCGCAGTCATAGGCCTGCGTGTGAATTCGAGCGTTACCGACAATTGGGCGACAACCCAGATACAGAAACTCCACCTCGGAAGAGTATACACCGCCTCGATCTTATACGGATACTTCTTGAAATCTGCTACCCTCAGGCACCAACTCGAATGTTCCTTGTCAGATCTCCAAATAAACCAGCAAAGACCTATCCAATTCCCTAAAGGTCCGGTCTTTGGCTGTTCTTTCCCGACAAGCACGCCACAAGCATTCGAAAACCGAGAACTGAAGCACCTCAGGCACTACATTTCCGGGTTCAATCCCGAGACATTGCAGAGATGCGCGAAGCCGAGGTCTGAGGAAGCGAGGAACTTGATAGAGAAACAGAGCATTGCCCTCTTTGGACAGGAGAAGGGGGATGAGGTCGTAGTGACGTCATTCTCTAGCCTGAAGAGACTGGTTCTTGAGGCTGTTGCGTTTGGAACGTTTCTGTGGGACACAGAGGAGTACGTTGATGGAGTTTATAAGCTCAAGGAGAATGACAATGCAGAGGAAGAAGAAGAAAGCAGCAGCATATGAAGTACGTTGATGGAGTTTATAAACGTGTATATACACATATATATATATATATACACACTATATAGAGAAGTTTGGTTTCTGTCGAATCTTGGTGGGTTTTTTTAGTGTATAGTGCATAGCTATCTCATTGTATGTATATACGGGCAAAGAGTATTTGCTCGTATGATGATGTAGAGAGAAATAAATACTAGTTTTTCTTGACGTTTTTGGTTCATGTCTTGTTATATGTCTTCTGCATGCTTTTGTTTTCGTGTGCTTTTTTTTTATTAAAAAAAGAATTAAAAAATGCTAATTTACGTGAAAATGACAAAAAAATAATCTAAATTTCAGGAAAAATAACATGGCAAAAAAAATAAACGAGACCCCAATAAAAGAGATGCGTTTAAAAAACAAAGGGCTTTCAAACTAAGACAAAAAAAAAACAGCTCTTCGGTCGAACAAGTTCTCCTTTGGCTCCGAGGGCTCGAAACGGAGGCTCGGTTTTCTCTCTCTGGATTGATCTTCCGATACGTCTGCTCGGGTTAGTTCGTCTTCCATTGTTCCATTTCAACCAAACCCTAGATTTGTTTGGTTGTTCTCCGTAAATTCTTGCCCTTGCCGTCGTCTAGGGTTTAAGTGCACTTCAGCTGTCTGAAATTCTCTTTTATCCGATTTCTTTTTTACAAAGCATAATTCTTTCTTGTAATATTCAAGAAATGCTGTGAACATGCGGGTTCTTTTGGGATAGGCCTTGATGCTTGGTCTGTCTGGTCGGAACTTGGATGACGAGAAATAATTGCTTTTCCGTTTGGAATACCTGTATTCTTTGTTGATTTTGTCTCTTTTTAGTGCCTGATTTCTTTCCATTCCCTAGCTGTTCTCAGATTTTAGAATAGGGGAAGTGTCAATTATATCTGGACCAGTGTCCTGTCGTGTCGTGAACAGAGAGATGAGATACTGCTGGCCGGTCCTCGTGCCTTAATTCCGCCGGAATAGCTATCAAATTCATAGATTCTAAAGCGAAAGCTGGCAGTTCATGCAAAACTCTTAGATGTTCCCGAGCTAGCAGGATCTCTTCTATCTGTTTCCAAAGTTATTCTTTGGATTTGAATGACTTTGGTTGTTGGGTTAGTGTTGCCTATGTGACCTGCTGTGTGCGACCGCCACCATGATTAATGGGTTTGACTGATGTGGAACTAAAATCCGTAATTGAACCAGAGAAGTTTTGGTTGAACTGGCTGGAGCCAGAGAAGAAACACCATGATTTTTTTGTTCTAGAAGTTTGCTGAGAGCTTAATATAGACGGGGGTGACTGATCAAGTCATCTTGTTTTCAGGTGAATTTTGAGGAGGAAAATGCCAGACATTCAATCTATGGTTGGGGAATTTCTTAACATCCTCAGGAAACGGTTAGTTTTTGGCCTTCTTGTAGTTGTATAAGAAAATGACTATTGTATGCTTAATTTCGTAATTTGTCACAGTAAGATCGAGGGTTCTCAAGCGACAGCCAGGCAAACTGCGGAACTTCTGAGGTCAGTCATTTCACAACAGCGCGTGCCTCACACAAACCAGGCCGGAGCCCTTATTGATGCGGTGAAGGCTGTTGGGGAGCAATTGATTGCCGTGAATCCCGTTGGTATGCCCTCTGTTTTTCTTTTCTTTTTTCATTTTTCAATTTGGACGGCATTCCATATGTGAAAAGTATCATAAAAATGAAGGCATATCTCGTGGGAATATAATTTTGTGTTTATCTTTTGCGGGATTGTGATGATCGCCATCAATGTTGTAGAGCTTGCAGTGGGGAACATCGTTAGACGGGTTTTGCATATTATCAGAGAGGAGGATCTCTCTCTCACTACTGCTGCTATGTCTGGATTGGATTTGTTGGATGTGAGCGATGACGAAGATGATAGCAAAAGAAGCAGTTATCCTGCAATGTCAGCTGCAATTGTTGCAGCTGCTGCTAGGAGCACTTTGCGTCCTCCGTCCTTGCAAACACTTCTCGAGGGGACCCCTGACTCTGTGACTGTCCCATACACTTCTTCATCTGGTGGTGATTCTGAAGGGAAAAGTAAATGTACCATCTTCATGTCCTTGCTCTGCTCTTCAACTGTGGTTCCTCAGTAGAATTTTCTGCTTTTGCTTACAATCTGTTAGGTTTTTCGGGTAGTTCAACATTTGTTGGAAGAGTTTGAATGATATGATACTCCTTGGTTATACAATAATCACCTGCCTAATGTAAACGGGCACTAGGTTTGAAATCTCTCGACGTAGCTACCTTCTGAATTTGGTCCAATAAGTGATCTGGTTTCTTATGTTCATTTTTTATATATCCTCCTGTAGCTGCTGATAAAAGTTCAAGAACTCGGAAGCTGAAGCATGACGTCATAGAAACAGTCAATCAACTTATTTCCGAAATTTGCACTTGTCATGAGCAGATCGCTGAGCAAGCTGTAGAGCATATACATCAAAAGTACTATATTTCTCTATCCATTGATCTTCCTTAACATCCAATAGATCTGGCTCTGTCAGTCTGGCTAGTTTACCAATGCCTGTTCTACTACAGCTAGAAGGTGATTTTCATTTTCCTGAATTTCTTTTGTCAGCGAGGTGATTTTAACCTTGGGTAGTTCAAGAACTGTTCTTGAATTTCTTTGTGCTGCGAAGGAGAAGAAGAGGTCATTCCGCGTATTTGTTGCTGAAGGTGCCCCGAGGTTGGTGTTTCCTCCTGTCCTATGTGTTTCACCCTTCCTCTCCACAGTTAGTGTTATCCATTTTTTGTTGTTGTTTCATCCTTCACTCTTCCAATGATCTCTCTTGTTTTTCTAAACCCATCCTTCCATTTTTGTTTCTCGCTTTCTTCTTTATTCAATTAGGTATCAGGGACATCTTTTAGCAAAAGAACTGGTAGCTCGAGGATTGCAGACCACATTGATCCCTGACTCTGCAGTCTTTGCCATGATATCGCGAGTAAATATGGTATGTATCAATCTTTGCCCTTCTGTATATTGAGAGTAAAAACAGTATGTCTCCTGGTCCTGGCTTCAATATCCTTATGTAATTCTGTGTAATGAAGGTTATTGTTGGAGCTCATGCTGTCATGGCAAACGGTGGGGTTATAGCACCTGTTGGAGTAAACATGGTCGCACTTGCGGCTCAAAAGCATGCTGTCCCTTTTGTCGTTCTCGCTGGGAGTCACAAGGTAACTTTTCCGGTGTAAGTTTCGACGTGCAAAATTTCCCTGGTAATTTCTCATGAACTCGACTGAGTGATGGGTTTTAATGCAACAGTTATGCCCGTTGTATCCGCACAATCCAGAGGTGTTATTAAACGAACTAAGATCCCCTTCTGAGTTGTTGGACTTTGGTGAATTCTCCGACTGTCTGGACTTTGGTGCCGGGTCTGGTTCTACCCTTCTTCATGTTGTCAACCCAACGTTCGACTATGTACCTCCCAAGCTTGTTAGCCTGTTCATAACCGACACGTAAGTCTAGGTTTTCGGTTTCTCTTTTTCCTTGGCCTTACCTTATTTGTCTAACCACAACAACTGAGAACATACATGATGAGATCCCATCAAGGAAAAAGGAAGAAGAAGAAGAAGAATCTAATGATGCTACATTTCCTGGTTATGTGTACAGGGGAGGGCATAACCCGTCATACATGTACCGCCTCATTGCGGATTACTACTCTGCTGATGATCTGGTGGTGTAACTGAAGATCTGATCTGGGAATTGCACATAGAGATCGAGTCCTTCAGGGTCAGGTAACATCCCATTTTTCATTCTCAAATGATGCACCACGGAGCTGCAATGAAAGGGATACACTTATATAGGCGAAAACTGTTGCTAGAGGATCATGAACCAGAAGAAATGGGCATTTTCTCTCTCTGTCTTTTTTCCTGTGACTGAAATGGCAAGGTCAAGTTTTATCTTCTTGAGATCCTAGGATTTTTATTGTAACTTTTTGAATGCCAGATTAGAGGCATTAGGATCTAGTTTGGGTCTCTGAACTGTTTAGTAGCTCGAAAGTTTCAGCAGAGGTTGATATGTCTGAATTTGAAGTTCATCATTTACTTGGAGTGCAAGTTACCGACACGTTATCAATCTTCAGTTTAGTTCTTTACATGTTTGAAGTCCATACATACATACATATATCAATGGCTTGACACAAGAGCTGGTCAAGTGAGTTTCTGATGAAAGGGAGATGAAACTGGTGATTGTGGTGAGCTTATGTTATAGACTTTGTTGGCCAGTCAGAGGAAAACCCTATCTTCTGTATTGAATCAGATTTTGCCCTAATCACTTCTTCTCCTCCTTCTATGCATGAAATTCCAGTATCTATAAATGGAAAAGCTTAAAAGCTTTATATGTTTTGTACTTGGAACATGAAAGCTACACGGTTTTATTACATCTGCGGCCACATCACAAACTTGGTTCTGAGTGAGTTCTGACAAAACCCATTGCAAATGTCAGCCCATTACATTTATGTCATTTGAAATCACAGCCTTAAAATTTGGGGATTCTGGCGATGCTTTGTCAAATTCTGAATGAGAAGCCGGAATAAATTTGTGATTGCCAAGAATGCCCTTCCTTCGGAGTTAAAAGCACGAAAATGCCATTGAACTAAAGACAGCCAAGGGATACATTCTGATACAAATTGTCTGAGGAGGACACGTGTCTATCTCCCTTTATAAATACCCTTTTGCCGATCTACGGCCAAACTTTCTCTTTCCTTGGCTGGGGTTTTGTGAGAGAGAGAGGAGAGAGAGAGTTTCTTCTTCTCGTCGAGGACCAACCCAACAAGAACATTACAGATATATATACAGAAAGAGAAGGTATACACCCATATGCCAACACATGGAGATGGAAAGAGGGAGGGGGGGAAGGATTTCTCACTTTCGTTGATTCGTTTCTTTCTTTCTTCTTCCTCTCTCTCTCTCTCTCTCCTCTGAGATCTTCGAATCCGTTTTTCCGATACATGATTTTCCATTAACCGAAGCTGTTTTCAGCAAACCGTTGATTTCTTTGCTTTTAAGCTGAAAACCTGAATTCTGGAGCGAAATTTTCTTTTTTTCCCCCGAAGTTTTGAAATTTGATCCGCCGATACTCTAAGCTGATTTACGTTTTCTTGCTTTCTGGGTTTTTGGAAAAATTCCATTTTGTAGTGCGTGCAGAATTGGTTAATAGTTACCGAGTTTATGCTCCCTGCAAGTTTATTGGAGCCGGTGATTTGCTTGACAGTTTCCTTTTTAATCGATTATTTAGGGTTTGATTGGATCGTTCCAGGAATCTGCCCTAATTGCGGTTTTTAAACTATTAGGGTTACCTATTGGAGATTACGGACTGTAAATAGGGGGTGTGGGTTTGAATTGCTGGGGAACAAGGTCCAGGTATCTGTTGATTCGCGAGTGAGTGGTTCAGGAATCGAGATTTCTTCACATTCAAGCAGAATAAGACCCCTCCGTGCTGTGGCTGCTGTTTAGTTTGTATTTTGGTCATTCAAGGTGCTTTGAGATGTAGTTACGAATCTTTCCCCAAAAATTTTGTTAATGTGAGTTGATGATGCTTGTGGTCTGGTGAAAACGGTTCTGATATGGGTTTCTGCTGATGGTTTGGCAGGTTATATTACCTCAAACGACAAATCTTGGAGTTCAGATCTCAGTTCATCTGAGAGTTGATCCTGAATTGGGGTTCCAAGTTGTAAACTGCTTCTTTAAGAGAGTATTTATGATCCGGACACTGAGAATTCTTTGTTGGGGGTGATTCTTGGAAGATCAAAGTTAATTTTCCGGCTGGAAGAGATTTGGATATGGTGGACTGGATCATAGATTCTTATCTGGTCAGGTGTTGGGATAAAGGAACAAGAAAGTTCGAAGTAGGGAAATTGTTGATCGGGTGGTGAAAGTATACCACTTTACAGTTCCCACGATATAAAGTGCCATGTCTCGTTGTTTCCCATTTCCACCTCCAGGATATGAGAAGAAGATTAAACCCGATGAGGCAGACCTTCTAACAAAGGTTTCACCTGTCTACTCTTAGCATTTACTATGCTCTGAATCCTGATCTTTGTGGTGTTTTTAAGGCCGTACCATGGGGAAGTGTGTTTAAAGTTGCTTCATTTTCTTCGAGGGTGACTAATGTACTGAGTTAATGAACGAGTTATCTCTAGGTTTTGAGAACGATGGAGGAAAATTTAATGGGTACCTTGAGATTAGTCTTAGGAACAGTTTTCAGGAACTCATTGTTGAGTTCTTTTATCTGGTCGAGAAGAATGCCAAATTGGATGGATCTTTGGGTCTTTTGTATTGTTAACCTGAACACCGAACATAACTCAGAACGTTATTTGACTAAGTGAGACTAGAAATGTGGAGTTGGATACATCTTACGAGAATCGTTGCAGCTGATGGATTGCCATTTCTGTATGAAGCATCTTTGGATTTATACGTTTTTTACCTTGAAATGAGTATGATTCCTTTCTTTGTACGAGTAGCTTCAGGTCTGGCCTAATTTTTGTACATTTTTATGCTTCCTAGTACTTGTACTGCACAGCAGGGTGTCGTGCAAGATCCTTGAAAAACTTAGACGCAGAGAGGTAAACTTGTTGAAGTGAATAGGGATTACTGCTCTAGGTGGTTCTGGGTGTTATGTCTTTGATTATATAGATCATTGGCATCTGGGTTTACAGATTTGACGTAAACCCTTAAGAGTATTTCAAGTTCTATTGTGACTCATTAGTGTTGTAGATTCATATTTGTGATTTCTTCTCCAGTCCGAGAGACTGAGATAATTGTTGCTCACACAATTTCCTTGTGTGGCTCTATTTCAAACTGCAGAGAGAGGTGACAAGAACAGATGGCCACAAGCTTAAGGATTAGTACTTAGATGTTGCACTGAACTGAATGTAGGATGAAGTTCTTGAAACAGGCTAAGTACCTTTTAGCATATACCCAGCTTGGAAGCAATAATTGACCAACACTGTTTCAAAAAATTTGTTCTCCTTGTTTTGTTGTATGGTTTTTTGTTCAAAGTCAAGGTGATTGCATCTCAGATTGTGTCTGAGATGCATGTCTTATTCCTATATTGATTGTCTAATTCCTATCTATTACACCATAGTGAATCTCACCTCATCGATTATGCGTGAGCACATTAGTATGGAAGTTGTTCCTTTTCCTATATCGGTTACAAATGGGAAAAGAAAAAAGGGATTAATAGATTGCTTAGTACCATCAAGTGCTCTGAAAATTTTCTATTGTCTTTTTTTGTTCTTTTCTTTGCTGTTTGGGTAATTTTCCCATCAGAACCTGGACATGTATTCCAGCTTCGATGGAGTTAAAATGAAAGAATTTCTGAAGTTTTTATTGTGTTCTGCACTTACGATGTATCTGTTTCTTTCTGGAATGTTACCTGCAGGAGAAAATCAAGGAGAAAAAGCACAAGAAGGATAAGAAGGACAGAGAAAAAAAAGAGGGTAAAGAGAAAAAGGATAAAGAAAGAAGCAAAGACAAACACAGGGAAAGGAAAGATAAAAAGGAGAAGCATAAAGATAGGAAGGACAAAGATAGAGATAAAGAAAAAAGCAGAACATCAGAGGAGAAGAAGGTTGAGGTTCTGCCAGACACCGGGGATACAGAGAAGTTTGTAACAAATACCTTGCAAAATAATAGCAATGGAGATTCTAGGTTTGTGCAGGACTTGGCAAGAAGGATCAGAGATGGAGAAGCAGCAACGGGAAGTCAAAGCGAACCAAAGACTAAAGTCCCTGATCATAGAAATGCCAGATTAACAGGAAAAGCGGTCGAGAACAGTTTCTGCCCAGTTCAAGAAACCAACCATAGGAGAGATGATGATAGGAGAATCAATCCCCAAAGGAACTTTGCCATGCAAAAAAGTGCTGAAAATGTTGTTGCACGAGTATCTTTTGGCACAAATCAGAAAAGAGCAGAGGGTATGGGTAAACCAGTGGAAAGAAAAGACCAGGAGAAGCAGATGGGATCTCTGGAAAAGAATCAACACAAGGAAAGTGTGATTAACAATGATAAACCAAGAGATAAAGAAGGGATAAAGAGAAGTGAACACAAAGATGAAGACAGAAACAAAGAAAAGAAAGAAGAGAAAAGTGAGGTGATGAACAAAGTTGGTCATGAGAAACCAAAATTTATAGAGGGAGGGGCTAGATTGAAAGAGAAGGATAAAGACTCCGTGGATACTAGAAATAGTAAACCGCCTGATCTTTCAAGGGCGAGCAACAAGGACCTCACTGGTGAGGGAAATCTTGGCAAACGGAAGGATCCTGAGAGAAATGGATTCTTGTATGGTGAGTCCTTCCCAGCATTTCTTCTTTAAGTCTGGTGAATGGGGACATAAATAGGCGTGCTTACCTATTGTAATACACAACTACACTGTTGTATAAGTTAGACGGGTTGGTACTTAAAACCACCTTATCTTTTTGTCCAATCATGGTATGTCTCTTTACTTCAGAAAGTCATTTAGCTTATTGGTTATATTGTTAGGGTTGTTTTCGTTTAGATTATTGGTGAATATCTCATTGTTTTTGTTGATTGTTTCCTGTGACATGTGTCTAACGATGTATATGTATACGGTGGTACTCTGTCTCTCATTTAAAGCTTTTAACCCGAAATTTTTAATTCTTATGCAGAGAATGGATCTAACAGACCAAACAAGTTTCAGAGGCTGGTCGCTTCTCCTATATCATCAGGTGTTGAAAATGGAAGAAAGTTGGGATTGGGAACAACCAGAACCGTGTTGCAATCTCTGGAAACCAAAACGCCTCCAAAGCCTGCGTCTGAGCTGAAACCTGTGGAAGCCAAAACTCCTCCAAAGCCTGCGTCTGAGCTGAAAGCTGTGGAAGCCAAAACTCCTCCAAAGCCTGCGTCTGAGCTGAAAGCTGTGGAAGCCAAAATTCCTCCAAAGCCTGCGTCTGAGCTGCAAGGGACAAGTTGCAAGCCGGATGTGAAGGAGCACCGAGTTAATGGTATCATTTGTTCTCGAGAGCCCAAAGTTTTTTTGCCGAATTCTTTGGCTGCACCAGCAAAAGTGAAAGTCAAAGAAAATGGTGAAGCATTGGTGAAACTGCCGCATCCTGACTTAAAGTATCTGGATCAGATACTTAGTGTACCCGAAAGAGAGGACCTGCCTCAGTTTGATGCTCTTTGGTGAATCCACAGTGAAGTTAAAGAAGCCAAGGATAGAATCTACTGCTTCGGATGAGACATGGCAAGTCTGGGACAAAGCTGTTAGAATAGAATCTGCTGACATTTCAGCCCTTCCATATGTTGTTCCATTGTAGTTGACTACATTCTCATGTTCCCTCGCCACAACTCAGGAGGAAGAACCTCCAAGACGGCCGTATCGAGGTGTGTTTTTTTAATCTCTTGCAGCTTTTGCGGTCTCTTTGGGAGGGTGAGGTAGCAACTGAAGTGAGTCCTGCTGCATTGGTAGCCTGACCGATTTCTGAATCATGGGTCTTGAAATGATTATCAGTGATTGAGGAATTTGAAGATCTCCGGTTTCAGGGCCATTTCCACTGGCTACCCTTCTTACTGGGATTCATATGGGGAGAGAGAGAGAGGGAAGGAGAGTCAAATGAGGAATGCTTAGGTAGTGTCTGAAACTCTGAGATCTTTTGAGGGCGTATTCTTGGTCAGTTCCTTGACAGGAAAAATGAGGTTTGTTGTGATAAGAATACGTGTGGATATATTTGTTCTGCACGCAAATTTTGATTCGCTATGTATCAGTGGATGGATTTGCATTTAAGTTGTATATTTAAGAGGATAGGGAAATAGAACCCACCAACCCACTTTCTCTTCTTAGGGTTTTTTCCCTTTGGTGTCCTCATCTTCCACTGATTAAAGCCTCCATTATTCTTGCATCTTACCTCCGTCACGACCATTTTGTTTGTACATTTCCCGTTTGGTGATTGTTTTCTTGAAGCCAAGTTACAGGAGGGGCAACATGGATCCCATTCCGAAGTGTATGCAATTTTTTTTATCACAAAAGCTTGCTTTTTAGATTCAATCTAAGAATGGGTATGATGGATTTCGCCCAGCCAAATACCCCAAATAGAAGAACAGACGTTTATTTCCATGTCCAACCAGAGAAATCAAACAAGAAAAATCGATTTATTTTGCTGGTAAGGTAAGGACTTTCCTTTGAAAATGCTGTGCGGTTGTAGAAACAATCAGAGAATCATAAAACACAACATACACAAACCCTGTCGTTGTCTTCTTCCTGCCACTTGCCAGATTTCTCAACCCAAAGACATGAGCTTGAGAGAAAAAAAAAAAACAGGGCAATAGCCAAAATCTGAACCACAAGCTTCCTTCCTGCTGTTAGGAAGATTTCTGGATGCTGTCAAGAAACATGCTTCTTGCAGAAAGGTCAGTGGAAAACCGACCCATGACTGCAATTGTAGCAGTGCTGCTTCCAAACTTCTCGATCCCCCGAGAGATCATACAACTATGCCCGGCTTCTGCCACCACGATTATATCTCCTCCGACAAGAGGAGATAACGTCTCAGCGATCTGTCGGGTCATCCTTTCCTGTACTTGAAGCTTGAACCCGTAAAAATGCACCACTGACTGCACAAGTGATTCTCCAATGGGAGTATAACCATCATCAGGACAGAAGTAACCGATGTGGACGACTCCATAGAATGGAAGCAAATGATGCTCACACATTGACCAGAACGGGAGATTCAGCTCGGAGTGCAGTCTTCTTCCCTTGACCTCCCCTTTGGATTTGGTATCGGTTTCACCATAACCGAAGCCACCCAGCTTCATCTCCAGGTTGGCATTCTGGAAGCTCATCATCCATTTCAGGAAACGAGAAGGCGTTCCAACGAGTTCTTTCCTTGACAGGTCTTCACCCAACGATCTCAGAATGGAACTGACTGCAGAAACCATTTCTGAGTCGGAGGGAGAGAATTTGGAGGAGCTTTTAACGCTTGGGCACCACTCTTTCACAGAACCGTTTCTACACAAGTTGTGAGTGTTTATGCCTTTAAACTTCAAAAGACTCAGGAATTCACCCCAAAGATCAGAGCTTTCATCCTCGAAAGCTCCAGAACCAGAGGAAACCAATAACTTCACGAAACCGTGGTGGCTAGAATCGAGAAAGTTCATATCCAAGCTCGGGAAATGGATGTGTGAACATTGGAGAACGACAGCAACTCCAGATGGTTTGACCCAATGCTGAAGAGCCGAGCAAATATCATCAGCCAGACGCTGTGGATCTTGAAGCCGCTTAGCAAAAACATCAGCGACCCTAGAGAACTTGCTCAATCCCAGGACCCGCTGGCCAGAAGGAACATAACCAATGTGACACCTGACTTGGAAAGGAAGCAAGCAAGACTCACAATAAGAGTAGTGGTCGAGGTCTCGGACAACAACAAGCCCTCCAACTCCACCCGCTTGGCCAACTCCTTCATCTAATCCTGCTTCTGGAAACAGAGCACTCTGCACAAAGTCTTTCACCTTTAGTTTGTAACCTGTGGAGCACAAGAACAAATGATCCATCAGCAAAAAAAGCATGAAACAAGAAGTCCAGAAACAAAACCTACACTCATAGAAACCAACCATATCTAGTTTCAGTGAAAGAAGACTAATATGAGTTATAAAGAAACAGTATATATATCATTCATTGAATGCTAACCGATATTCATTAACTAGAGGTTAAAAGCTACTTAAACAAAAAGGTTCCATTCCATCCCATCTCTTCTCTCCGACAACCTTAGCCTCAAGAAACATACCCGAAGTGGTGGAACACGGCATGAATGCAATAACACGATCAGATTCAAAAGAAGAGACAATCAGATTCGGAGATGGGAGAAAGCCAGTATACCTCTGGTTCCTTCCCGAAGCGCTTTGGCGACACGAAAAGGGGTCTTTTTGATGCCTTCCCTGTTGATATCCTCACCCAAACCCTGCAAGAGAACTCTCACCGCTTCTTGGATCGCTAAGGTCTCTGGTTGGCGCTCGAACGCAAGATCAATGCATCCATTTTTCATGCCATTCTCCAGCTCCAGATTGAAATGTCCTTCACCTAAAGCGCCCATTGACAAAGCAACCCACAGGATCCGATGGACAATGAATGGATACCGACAAAAAATAATACCCAGATCACGAATCAGAACAGCAGTTTTCAGATCGAAACCCTCCGGATTCAATACAGAAAACGAATACCGGAGACAATCCAATGTGAAAATCTGCGAATCTGGTTTTTGTCCGCAGACCCAGATTGAGAACAGACACCACAGTTATCGATTGGCGATAGCAATGGCCAAATCAGCCAAACTGAAAAAGATGGACAATTTTTCGCAGCCGAAAATAACTGGATGAGAAAATTCGAAAACTTCCGAGCCAAAAGCTAACCCAGATGCAGAAGGAGCAAAGCCCACTGAAAATTCTAATCACACCGAAACTTCCCAGGGAAAGGGAATCGAAACCAGAATCAAATCTCTCTCCTTTCGGTCATAATTTTCCCGGAAAATTCAGTCCCCAGAAGTTCAGGGATAACAGAACGAACGAAGGCGAGGCGGGGGGGGAAGAAGAAATGAAGGGTTGCCGTTGATCCCCAGGAATATGTGGATTCGTAAAATACCAAAAACCAGAAAATTAAGAAAAAAAAAATCCAAAAATTGTTTCCACCTCAAATTTTCTCGTATTGGAAAACGCAAACAAAAGGTGTCCTTTTTCAGAGGGCAAAAGCTTCCGATGTAAGGCGGCGAAGACCGCCCCTGTCACTTTCCGATTTTTTCACCGAACCCTCCTAATTCAATGGGGCTTTTTCATAAAATAAATATTCCTTTTCGATGTTTTGCGAAGAAAATCATCGGCACTGACATCTTTTTTAGGATAAATCCGAAAATCATCGGAGTATGTATTGATATTGGGACCAAACAAAAAAAAAAACACATGTCTTGGAGACATTTATGTCCGTTTCATTTTCAGTCCACCTTTTTAAATCTGATTTTATTCCGTCGAGAAATTTAAAACTCGGACCAGATCATTCGAACTTGCTTTCACGAATCGAAAAAAAATAAATATAGTAAAAAATATTATAAAAATAATTAAAAAATAATATTTAATATATTTTAAAATAATAAAAAAAAATTTAAATTTGATAAATCTTTTTTAAAATTATTTAAAAATATTAAAAATAAAAATAATTTTTTCGGACTCCCGAGCTGACTCACCATGAACCGAGTTCGTGGCAAATTAATTCGTTTGGCTTGTTTATTTTTTCGAACTCAAAATTTTTCAACCCAAATCAAAAAAATATGGATCGGCTCGCGAATTGATTCACCAACCAGCTCATTTTGACATCTAATAAATTTATTTTTAAATAACCAATTGATTTGCTTAAACATTTGTCAATCCCACCCACCATCCTATGAAAAACAGCACAAAAGTCAAAAGAGTTAGCACCAAGTGAGATGCCATGGATCTTCTTATGGATATGCTCTTCCATTGCAATATATTTTTACAAAATATTTCATATTTTTTGTAATAATTTTTTTCCATATTTGTAAAGAGCGTGCAGAAAATTGTGGCAACTCCTTTTTTTTAGTTTTAAAAAATTACATACATTTTCTCCTCTTTTGAAAACCAAATGTGGATTTATATCCAAGGGAAATATACAATTTGGTAATAAAACTATTCTCATTCAGCATTAAGAAAAGTTATAATAAGCTAAAGTTGTTTTTATATATTTGGATATATACAAGACAATTAAAAAAAACGAAATTTACCTTTTGGTTCCATGGAAGATGACTGAAGAAGAGATGAATATGTTTAAAGTGGACAAGAGAAGAGGACCAACGTTCAAGCGAGAGCTTAGGGACGAGGAACACTATGACTTTAGGAGTTATTATATATAGAGAATCAAAATGTTTTTTTTTTAAATCGAATTTATTAAATATTGGAATACTTCAGTACGATAATTTAAATAATATTGGTGATTGGTTTTCACCCGACAAGATCTGCCGTATTACAATAATGTATCGGCATAAGTTTCTAAATAAAACCATGTTGAGCGACAAAAAAACGTGGTGTTTTATTTTAATGAGAATTTGATATGATAATTTTAATTTACAACAAACTTAAGCTAAATTAAATTTAAAAAATATAGAATTAAGTTTAATAAAATATGATCTCAAATATGTTTATATATATATAAATCATCTATTGATTATTTTGCAGTAAAAATAAACTATCTACTTTGAAATTTTTTAAAGGTCGATGGCTGGTTTAAACAAAAACGAAAAACGGAGACCAAAATGAATATGAAAATAGCTGCAGGTAAAGGACAAAAATATCTCAACTTCACCCTATGGATCAAGTTTGGATAGCCTAACGGTGAGAGAACATGCTTTCACCCTGGATTCAAATCCAAACGTAGAGAAAAACATTCATCTGGATTTTTCTAGTTCTCTGGGAGATGTAGTCGAAACAAAAGCCTCCGAATTATTAAAAAAAAATAAAATCCCAACGTCGTTTAAAAGAAACCGTAATAAAAATGTGACCACGTGACTTGCTAATGGAAACGCAGCACTAAAATTTTATACACCTGTTTCAAAATAAAATTAATCTTTTATCCCTGATAATAATACAAATTATGTTTGATGGCTTGTGGTGAAAAAACAATTCAACACCCCGATACTTTTTATATATATATGATATTAATTAATAATTAAGTATCTATTTTTTTATAATCTCTTTTATCTATGTATTGTTTAAAAATTGGTTGTATTAAGTGGGACTAATTCTAATCTATCAAATTAAAATTTTGAATTTACGTATCGAGTGGGCATCATCTAGTTAATTTATTTTGAATACACAATTGATTTGCTCAAACATTTGTCTATCCCACCCATTCAGACACCGTGTTCGAAGTTTACACTTTACAACATCCAACTGTAAACTATTTATTTTAAAAATTTATCTATCGATTACTTTGCAGTAAAAATAAATTTTTGCTTCTACAACTTATAAAAAATATAATAATAAGATAATTGAATGTTTTATAAACTAGGAAAGCGAGACAGTTTGCATATATGAATTCACAATAATATTTTATGATTTTATTATATATATATATAAGAATCGTTTAAAATTTTTTAAAAGGCCGATGGTTGGTTTTAAACAAAACTGAAAACTCTAATCCAATTAAATTAGCAATGGAGTTGAAATTTCCAATGACATTTTATCAGAAACCAAATGAATATTAAAATAATTACAAGTTGTATGCGAAAGGACAAAAATATTCCAAAGAGGGAAAAAGAAAATCGTAATAAAAATGCGCCTACGCTAATATAATGAGAATTGAGAAACGAATCTTTCTAACGGGACAAAGCACTAAAGTTTTATACTACCATTTCAAAATAAAATTAACCTTTTATCCCCTATAAATTTTGTAATTATGATTTCTAAAATGCACTGATAGAAATATTATTGATTCTTTAGTCATTCCTAAAATATTTTTCTTTTGAAACAGAGGGAGTAAGTAATGGTTAAAAATTTATTTTGAAATTATACTTGAAAAAAATGATGATTATATTTTGATTAAAACTCATATTTCATTAAAGGCTTTTTTTTTTATAAATCTCAACTAAGTAATTTTGACGATATAAAATATATATTAAATCTTTTATTTTAAAATTTATATCCAATCAATTTATTCTCGCACTAGATTTGGATTCCGTCAGTTAGATTTTAAAATTTTTAGCTAACTAATTTAGATAAGTTTGATTTAATTATAATTATATATTGTTTTATACGGTTTTACATAACCAAACCCAAAATAAGTATCTCTCGTATTCTAATCTCCTTTCAACTATTAAAAAAAACTATATTTGCAATTTGTAAGTAAAAAAATCATTTCCTTAAGAGTTTTAAGACGATTAATTTTTAAAATATAGAATTTCATAAACTTCATAATCTTATGATAAAGCCTACAAACTGTAGTATTTTAAGCAAGTTAAAAGGAGTAAATAACAACAATTTTCATTAAATAATCAGAAATAATTTCGGATCAAGACCAACATAAAGGACAAAAACTTTCCAACTTGTTCATATACAAACTTTAAAAAAAAAAGACATGACAGTTCAGTTCAGTAACCTAAGAGTTGCAAACACCGCTCCACAATCAAAATTTAACACACCAAAGTCCCTGCACAAAAGGAGTAAATAACAACAATTTTCATTAAATAATCAGAAATAATTTCGGATCAAGACCAACATAAAGGACAAAAACTTTCCAACTTGTTCATATACAAACTTTAAAAAAAAAAGACATGACAGTTCAGTTCAGTAACCTAAGAGTTGCAAACACCGCTCCACAATCAAAATTTAAAACACCAAAGTCCCTGCAAATTTTTTTTTTTTTTTTTTTTTTTTTGCAAATACATCTGTCTTCTCAGCCACAGTTTGTTCTCTGTCCTCTGCCGACTGGAAACTGTTTTTTTTTTTTCATTTTTTTTTTGTGAGTTCAATCAATAAGGCAAGCAACCATCTCTTCTCTCTCTAAGGCTTCTTCCCGAGTTTGCTGAATGCAGAGTGGACCCTCTCTTCTGTGATCGTCCTGTGGTTTTCGTAGAAATCAAGAATCTCCATGGCAATATTCTTCACCTGCCAAATGAAATGATTACAAGTAATAAACTTCATGATTCTCGTGTTTATGGTCCTCACTCCATAACATCACCAAATCCTGCTGTCGTTTAGTTTCATTGGCCCCTTTGGTTCACAAGAGGTCAAGATTCGGTTTCTTTCTTTCCTTCTTTCTCTAAGTCCTACCAAAACAGCACGGGATTCTCGTGGGCGTGAAGACCAATGCATGAGTGAGTGAGCCTAAATAATTAAAAAGGGAGGAGGAGAATCTTATGCTTATTTTGTCACCTAACCCACCGCTAAAAATGGCTCCTTTCTTTGTTTTTCTATAAAAAAAATTTAAAAAAATTGTGCTATCTCCAAACCGGCATTTCCATATGATTAAAGGAAAGGGTGATGGAAGTTAAAAGGATCAATGTCCTTAATCCAGAGGCACAACACAAACTCACCACGTTCATGTCTACGCAGAGCTCTTCAAGCCACGACCTTATGTCTTTCTCTTTGTATACGGAAGCAATGTACACACAAGCCAGGGCGATCAGATACGGTGGATGTACAAGGATGAGGTCCATCCTATACGTGTCGTTCACAAGTCCCCTGTAGTTCATACAAAACACTTAAACTGACTAAATACAACAAATGAAAAATCAATCCTTTGCCAACATTTGATCACTGTTACCGATAGAAAACTGATAAAACCCACAGTGCGAGTCGATGTCTGTGATTGTGATTGTGATCTGTGTTCAACGTTACTCTCCTACTGCTAATCGTGCGAGCCGATAACCATTTCAAGAGGGTCCAGAGTGACTTTGAGCATAAACTTCATGTTCATCACACAGCTTAATATGAGTTGTTAGGTGTGAAACATTCATTATGCAGGACAGATCAAATTTTCCCATGCAGTTCTAAAGTTCGGAATACTTGCCAAGACAAATGGGTCATACTAGTGTCGTTGATTCCCGCGTCCTGCAACAACCTGTAAGTCGAGAAAAAAGGAAGAAAAAGATCGAGAGAACCACATTTTGTGGCAGTCTTGATTAGCAATGGTGCAGAGGGAAAGTGGCATAAACATGCATAGAGAGTGCAGATATAAAAGACGTACTGACAGAAGGACATATGAAATGATTTTACAATTTGGACCGACAACTCGCTACTCATTGTCAGGAAAAATGGGTAATTTTTCACCCTTAGACTTTTTCTTTTCTTTTTGTGTTCATCCGTTCGTGTAGGTACACTCACGGCTGACCGAGTGAACGAGGATGTCCGCATATGTCCGAGAAAGCTCGCACCAGCCCGAGAGCCGCTACCGCACACGTCCGGGAAACTCCGCACCAGCCCGGAAGAACACGGACCTGTCCGAGCTTCACTATCGCACACGTCCAGAGAAGTCCGCACAGCCCGAGAAACCTCGTCCCAGCCGAGAGTCTCTGCCGCACCCGTCCGAGAAACTCTGCTTCGGGCCATCTCGGCGC